TTCAAAAAGGATGTTTGGATATTTTTTGCATCTTTAAAGACTTAAAAGGTGCCCCATAAAAAAGTGAACAGTAAGAATGCTGAATGGGCTAGTGTAATGGTTAATTCAGTTTAGTTATCTCCTGCCTTTAGGATAAAGGCCAGAATCTGATGAGGATTATGTTAGAGCTTGAAAAACAAGGCTTGGAAGCGATGGAAGATATTCTTACTCGTGCAGAGATTCTGGATGCTGCTGAAGTAGTGGATCTTTTCTATGACTGTGTTGACACAGAGCTTAAGTTCTTCAAATGAAGTAAGCAAACATTTTAATTCCTTAGATAACGAGTTTCTGGTAGCAACCAGTATCAGTGAATGCAAGACCTTGGATTTGATCCTGAGCTAACGGCATGTAGGATCTGGTCCAAAGTAACCTGTCTGCCTCAGTGCGTCTCACTGCATGATCCCCTTTTCCCTGTGTTATGCTGTGGGCGTGTTTGTTTTCTATTTCACTGTTACTTGGAATCAATTTTAAACCAATGTTATCTCGTTTCAGCCACACTGGATACTGTTAGCCTTTTCACAGGAAGACTGCAAAGTTCTTCAAACCTGAAAGAAAGTCTTCACGTTCGTGAACTTGCAGGAGAAAAAAAAAAACATTTCTAGAGGGAAAAAAAGTTCCTTGATAGCTGTATCTGGTTAACAAATTGCTTTTCTTTGTCCAATTATGTGATGTTTCTGTTTGTGTGTGTGTATAGTGAAAGGAGAAAGTCACTGACTGGTCCAATTACTGTGTGCATGCTGGCTAATTTAGTACAGAATGTCTAAATATGTATGTTGGGCAACCAATTAAAGCAAAGATTAACTTCATCAGGATAACTGCCATATCGTCATTGAAAGCAAACTATTTTTTCTCTGTTGCTCAGGACCAGACTTGCAGCAAAGCTAACCAGCATTGTAGTTTTTCCCTTCTTGCTAATTCATATAGAGAATGGTAGTTGAAATCTGTGATTTAAAGGGGCTGGGAGGTAAGTCCTGGTTCTTGAACTCGCTGTACTGGTATATCTGATTGTAGTGACTCAGCAGCTGGCTTTATGCTGTAAGAACGGCCAGTTTGGTCCCCTCGTGTAGCCCTCACCTGCTTCCAGCTGGAAGTAGCCTGTGTGTCTGTAAACACGGCTGGCTCCTGCTGCTGGGCACAGTCAGCAGAGCCACCCGGGACAGCTCAGGAACCTACGTGCAACCAACCCACTATGAGGGACAGCAGCTGCGTGTCGGTCAGCGCCTGACTGCGGTCCCTATTCCTCTCTTTGTACTGCTCAGCAGTTCCTCGTGCTCTCGGGGGACATTACATGCCCGTGAGTTCATGAGGAATGTGGCAATCCAGCTGGCCAAGCTTACAACGGGCCGTCTCTCTTTGCTTGCTTATCTCAAGCACAGTCCTGCGGCATGCTTCCCTTCCTTGCCTTGGTTTCTGTGCGCTTTCTTTTTCCAGAAGTGAGATGGGACCTCTATCCTAGTATTTTTTAATAGGAGGAGAAACAGGCAGGAAGTCCATGCTTGTAGTAGGTAGAAAATAGCATAAGGAGTTCCAATCTCTGATCATTCAGGAGTGGGGAGGGTGACAAACCACAGGTTTCTACAGAGGTAACAGCTCCTCCAGAAGGCATCAGCATCTCGACTTGAAACCGTGAGGGAGTTGTGCATTAGGGAAATACTCTAGACTAGATTTTTGTCTGTTCTTTTTTTTGTCCACAGTTAAGTAAGTGGATTTCCCATGAAGTCCATTTGTGGAATGAAAGGGGTCTTTGAATGAAGAGAGTCCTCGTCAGATATTTAACACATGGCAAGCTGCCCTTCAAAGCTGCTTCCATAACTATTACTTGCTGAGAGCTCAGCAGCCTCATAGGAGCTGGGTGCTTGTGAACAGGAGAGAACAGAGGTAAAATGTTGTGTGAGCAGAGGTCAGAGATTAGGACACATCATTCCCCCTGCTCCTCTGCCCCACTCAGCCCTCCAGCTTTTGGGGGCTGGAGGGAGACAAATGCAATAGGAGGGTGTTTCAGCTAGCAACGTCATGCATCTTATTTGCCTGCTGCTTAAGGAACAAAACAACAACCATCTGCAATCAGCTTGTGGGGACTTGTTCTTCTTGGAACTCTTCAATATGACAAAACTAAAACCTACTTTGGCCCAGTGGTCCAGCCAAATTCTAGTAGTGTGTTGCTTTTGCATCAGTGTATTGTGCATAAATATATATAAATAGTGGGCTCTAGTAACATGCTCCAGTGCAATCACTGGTCTTACAAGTCTGAAAAAACCCAAGCCACCCCCATGGTGTTAACCTGAGCGTGCCTGGGGCTCAGGCGGGTGCACTGGGCACACGGTGGGATGAATTCCCACCGCGTTACAGCCAGGGTGAGTCCCCGTGCCCAGTGTGAGCAGCTTCTGAAGTGCCAAGGGATCTTCAATGACAGGGATACAGTGTCTCTTAAATAACACTTTACTAACATTACATAAGTGTTTTTCACAGCTGCACATATGCATAGGCTTTCCAGTTTAATCTTTTAAAGAAGTTGTTTGCTTCTACAATACCGCTTATCATAATAAAAACAGGAGTAAAATTTTTCCTCCTTTAATGTTTAGACCACCTGCCAAAAGACACCTGAATAGCTTTAAAAGCCTTATAAAGGTAATTATTACAACTGTATGCAAGTTTGAAATACAGATAAGAACCAGCAATAAGTCACTTTTAACAGTACTGTAACAAAATATTCTTCAATGCAATATTAAACTTTTGTAGTTGTTTGAGAAGCTTTTTACCATATTTCATGCATATAGATCAAGTAACTATAATACTGGTGGAAGAAAGTATTGCTCAAAGCATCACTTTTTTAAAAAAACATGAAGAACAACTAGGTATTATGATAGGCTAGAAAAAAACTTAATGACACTATGAGCTTCCACTGTGTTTTCACCTGAGCTTGAGCATGCGCATGGGGGCGGGAGTTGCAGCACAGCTTAGCCCTTGCAAGGACTCGGAGAAAAGCAGAGATACTGCTGTATGGGAAGGATCTTTACCTGTTACTTCTGTTTATTACAGCTCATGATGAGAAGAATTTTAATTACGTAAATAATCTCTTGATCTTAAATAGCCTGACGTGGCTTATCATGATGGAGCACTCATTAGTCAAATTAGTGAGGCAGGAACCCCATAGGGGAATATTTTGCTGGAAACAGAGACCTGATGTCCCGGTGTTACACTGGTGATCCAAAGACCTCTCCCCACAGCTGCACATTAAAAGTGGAATCTTGAAGCTTGTTCTCTCCTAGGCTGTTACTTTCTCAACCAACTGTATTCAAAGGGACAGCTTTGTGGACTGCTTGTTCTATATGTTGTTTTGGACAAAGAGTCCTCATTGCTGCTCAGAACTTCCTCTTCATCCCAATTGGAAAAGTTCTCTCATCTTTGTCAATTCCAATAACCACTCTCTGCAGTTGGGCTTTCTCAGACATGTTCACTGTCCTGTAAGGCTGTGTGATCAGCAAGAGGTAGGTTCAAGAACCAGGATCATCTTCCTCTTTTTGCTCGCTGAGAAAAGGAGTGGGGGCACATCTGTTGCTGAAGGTGCTGGTCTACTGCCATTTGAGCAGCATAGGCAGGAGAAAATAACTGGAGGCTTTCCCAAAAAAAAGGAAAAAAAACGGATGATGGAGGAAAAAAAAAAAAAAAAACCTAGAGCCATTTAATGCAAAAAAGTATCTTTGAGGTATCATCTGTCAGCCAGGATTAAAATGAGAGTTGTTTGAACACTATGAAGAATTTAAAGCATGTAGGATGCTTCGCTTAAAAAATACTCATGTATATAGATATATACAATAATTTAAAAGCCTGTGCTAACACTCTTGTGGTGGATAGGCAAGGTTAAAAAGTGTCATTTAAATTTATCTTCCAGTTTACAGAAGCGTCAACATTGCAGCACTTGCAATTCAAATATAATCTCTATCATTGTAAAGGGTATCCCCTTCTGTTTCATATATTATCTTGATCTTCTCCATTTTTAATACCAATCCAGACAGCATCAGAAGACTCTTCTCATCTCACGTGTGTTCTTAATGGAGGATTTTTAGAGGGATCTGTAAATAGATAGGAAAGGTTTGATCTGAGGAAATAACATATTTTGGACACATACTTTGGATGTAGTTCCACAGCAGTAAAAACAAGCAAGTAAGGAATAGTGCATTTACCTCCTCCTGTCCTCGAACATGTATATATATAACTGATGCTCATCTCTGCAGCCCTTTAGTAAAAAAGTCTTTGATCAACCACCTTGCTATATGATCATGAAGGTGCATGGGGAGGAGCAGGGGGTGCAACCACAGCAGCTGCTTTAGCCTGACCTAAGCTGCTATTAAAAGGGGTTAAAAGTATTGTGAAAGGGAAGAACTTAATGAAGAGTTGGTGCTTAATAGTTGATCTAATACTAAAGAAAATAAAGGGTTTTATAAAAAGCAGAATAGAGGCATTAGATCTTAATGCACCTTCAAATGCCAGTTTTCGAAGCTGGAAGTGTGACCTTCTGCTCTTTCCACAGTACCCTGATACTACGTTTCCAAGCTAAGCCTGAATACAGCAAGTTTCTGTGATTCCCTACTTGCCTGCAGAGATTCAGGTGCCCAGTGCCTTTGTTATTCAGGTGTGCAAAACACCATCCTTAGGATTTAATTCAAAAAGTCAGATCACGTGTATCATGTGTATCAAATATGAAGTTTCTTATAGTATACAGTGTAACAACCTTTTGTGATTTCACAAGTCTATGGACAGAGACACCAACTCACGAGCAGGCTGTTTACATTGTTTTCAACTTCAAGGCACTCTGTAGCTTAATGCAAAGAATAAAATTAAATTACATGTCAACCCACTTCATTTTATTCTTTTGGTGCTAATATTTTAAAATGAAAAACACTTCATTACTAAATCTTGGTCTTCATTACCCCAGTAACAAATCCCATTCCTCATTGTATACATGTTAGCAACTGGTAGCAACCAGCTGTTCATATTGATACTGGTCTGCATTCTTTATGTTCATTCCCTGCTTTTAATACTATTGGACAAGTATCAGAGCTCCTCACATTTACATGCTTACCTCTAGCTATCTTGCTGGGATAAATTTTCTGAAATGGCTTGAATTCCTCAGGTGGGGGGAAATCTTCCACAGAATGGAAGGTAAATTTAGATTCAAAGTCATCTGGGAAGTTTCAGAGAAATACACAGTAGTCATGGTTAAATACTATTAAAAAGATAAATTGCTACAAGTAATTTCAGTTCAAAGTGCTGAAGAATTTTCCCCTGCATTTCACAGTGGCTCACTCCATGTAAGGAATCTAGAAGGGTATTTCTGTGAGCAGTCCTACTGTTCTGGCTCAACTTGCACACACACCCTGGTACTAAGATAAAGCATCTAGCTACTGTTAGAGTTTTCAACACTGATGTTACTGTGATTGTTGATGTATTCTCAGGTGGTTTTAGAACAATTTAGAACAAACCACAATGAAGAGCCAATTAATCAGATCCCAATGCCATTCTTAACAGTCTCAACAATTTTATAGAATTGAAGCTACTAAATGAACATGAAGTGTTTTGGGGAGCAGTAGTATAAGCACACTACAGAAACTTTTCACCATTGTAAAGAAACGAGCAGGTAGTACATATTCTTCTCGTCTATTTGATGGTTCAAGACATTTGTGCAAAAATGTTAATGTTCTGTCACTGTCCAGGGTTACACAAATAAATGTTTCTGTGTGTCTAGTTTAGCTCCACTGTTCTTGTGACAAGAGTTTTTGGTAGGCCTGAAACACAAGCTTTTGTACTTAAATCACTAGACTTAGAGTAAATTATATTATTTAGATAATATTACCAATGATATGCATATTTCCATTTTTAAGAGGTGGGTAAGGGTCATGAAGTGCCGCCCAGGCTGGGACTCCGGACTTGCTTGTAAGTTCGGTTGTTGGTGATCTTGCTGGTGGTTGTGGAGGCGTCATTAGCTTCCCAGCACCAGTTCCTTAAAAAGAGTCAGTGGAGCAGCACTTAAGGACCATCATGACTTACCAAAACCAACATTAAGCTCTGCACAAAAGTGGACAGTGTACAAGGAAGGCAGTATTTCATGCAAACTTGCTAGTGGTGTGTCTTGTAGGGTAACTGCTCTTTGCCAAGCCTGGCCATGGATTTATAGCATCAACTTTTACACTTAGTCACCATTTCAGCTGATTTGTGTGTGCTATTTCTAGTTCTGGAGAAAGCCTGGCAGTTTGAAATTTGTTTTTGTCCCATCATGGTGGAGAAGAATATTTTTCAGCTTTCACATGAACATATTTCTTTAAAAAAAAAATATGAGGTGGTGTGTCCAAAGTAATTTTTTGGCATTCTGGCAGCTTCTCAGTGGAATTACTGTTACTTTTAACGCATTTGACTGAGCAGTTTGCAGAGCTCAGGACTCCAGCACAGCCCTAGCACATGAACTGCTGTCAGGCAAGGGGGCCTCCAAGTTAGCACCCTCTCAAAGCTGCCTCTGCCCCTGGGTAGCCAAGAGAAGGTCAGACAGATCTGATGGAAACATCCATCAGATATTTCTGATTAATTTAGAATGAGCATCATTAATCACTCTCTCTAAGCACCCGATCTCCTGTACTTGCATGGACTTTCCCATTGCTGAGAAAGGGAACCAGCAATTTTTCTCTCGACATGTGGCTGCTCAGATGCAGGGTACAGAACATACTCTTCAGATGTTCCTATTAAGTAGCTGTCTTTATTTCTCAAACCCACACAAATCTTTCTATCTTTTTGGCCAAGACAGTTCCTCTTGCCACCTGCTCCAGGAAAGAGCAGCCAATATCCTCACTTCCCCAGCAGTGAGGGAAACCTTTGGCCCTACCAGCTCAGTCACAAGAGGCACTGGCCGCTGCTCTTTGCTGAAAGGCAGAGGGTTTCCCATCCATATTGGTCTTTACCCATCTACAGCCATCCCAACAATGTGGCTCTGGTGTTAGCGTGTTAGGTCCCAGCAACACGGCTGAGAAGAGCTCGAGTGGGGCACGCTGGTGCCCCCAATAAGGGCCGTGCCTCGCGGCTCCGCGCGCTCCTCAGCGCGGCGCTGCCGTCCTCTCACCTC